TTTTACAAAGTATAGCACTCTGATACCATAGTGTTGAGCATTGTCACATAACATAATTTTGATTATAAAGTTTTTAAAAGATTATGAAATTTCAATGTAAAGCCAAACCAAACCAAATAATGTTAACACCGGCTCACAATTCAGTATGAACACATGGGAGTCTAGCCTAAAGGAACACAGCTTATGAAAGGAGCATGTTTTAATTAAGTTGTTATTTTTGTATTTATTTTTTACTGTACGTGTACGTTAAAAAAAAACATTCCAGCAGCAAGAACGATCCTGAACTAAATGAAGATAAATGTCTTGGCGTATGATGGGTTTATTGAACCAATCAGATAAGAGTAAATGGAGAGTCAGTGAGAGCCTCATTTGATTGGCTACAAGAAGTTGGTGGACCCGCCCTCCCCTCGCGCTTGCAAAACTCGGTTAGTGAGAGAAACGTGCCAAAACTGTAAATGCAGATTAAAGAAAGACGGAGCTGTACATATCGGATTATTTCGGGAACTTTTTGCCCTACATACACAACAAGTCATTTAGACATTTGCAAATTAGTTTTTTTACACATACAGATTGGTTCTATGCAGTCAATCAATTTTGCAGTTCTTTAAACTGTTGTTTTCGCTTGCAAATCACTGTTCACAGGCTTGCAGTGCTTTTGACTGTCTTTTGGCGAAAAAAAAACATGGCAAAAGTGTAAGCGCGGACAAATGGAATTCAGAAGAATGCAGATCATATTTATTTTGCTTTAGCATGAAGCTGCAGTTTCACAATACATGAATTACACTTATGAATAACAGTAAAATGCTGCAAATATTTTTTTCTTGTGCTTGAAACACGATTTGCACCATTACAAAGCTTCTCTTGCGCATGCAAATTTAATTTACGCTTACGGTCTTATGTACACTTCCACAAATATTACCCTGCACATGCAAATCTTTTTGACGTCATTTTACCTTCATAATTCTTTTGTCACCTTTTCCACCCATGATGAGTTTGCATCTCTGATATTCAGATATTGGGATTTTTTTTGTGTGTTTGTCAGATAAAGTCAATAAGGAGAAGGTTTCTCTTGCAAGACAAACTTATAAATCACGATCTGAGCTTGTGTGAGTTCTTAAGCTTTGTAGCACAATTGGGATTTCGGAGTGGAACAGCAAAACAAATTCATGTTGTTGTTTTTTCTTCCTGTCTTTAGAAGTCTTCTGCAGACGTAGAACCAAAGATCTCTTTGGCTGAGCGGATGAAGATCTTGCATGAGAAGGAGGAACAATGGAAAACTAAAGGCAAAGGAGCTTCTAATGACTCCACCCAGTTCTCTGTGGCTGGACGAATGGCTAAGAGAGGTGGGGAAGAAATGATTTGCTGGGTTTCTAGCAAAAGAATAACCCTTGTGTCAAGAGCTGAACCTTTTCAACTCACAAGCGAAAACATATCATGATCCATGCAAATAGCAAATCAGGTTGTAGTGTGCATCCTGTGGATCAAGAAGTGATAAGAATGTTTTCATGTTGACACATCTGTTTCCCATCAGGCTTAGTGTCACCTAACAGAGAGGATGTTCCCATTATCCTCAGCAAGAAGGTCAGCAACAGTACACCAGTCAAACCATTAGAAGGTATCAGTTTATGACATCTTCTGTGACCCTGTTTGAATACTCACTTGCCAAGATGATGTATTATTAGCGCTCTTGTCTCTACAAAGTGTCCTTCTCTCATGTCTGGAAATGTCCTTCTGACAGAAATCTCCACTCGTCCTGATGCTGAAGGAGATAAAAGACTGGACAAACTGGAGTCCTTTTTGGACAGACTTCACAGTAAAGGTTATTAATTGTATTACTCTATTATTAACTTGCATCTTAATGCATAATATAGTTGTATGCAGGGATCTGTTTCTCTTTTTCATTTAATGTGCAGGAGTTGCGGGCACAAAGAACTCCACCATTGAGGTGATGGAGGAAAAGGAGAAGGAGGTGATGACTCTGGATGATGAGGAGACTTTTGGGCGGTTCTACAGTTGCTTATCACCCACTGCTCTTAGCTCCAGTGTCCTGCTGGTCGAGGAAGAAGACTTCAGCATCATCCAGTCAGACACACCCAAGTGAGATACTGCTCTTATTACTGTGTTAGATGGGTATTAAATGGTTGGATGGGTATTAAGATAGTTCAACCCCCCTTATCTGTGGGGTTTCTGGTTACACATAATATTTGAAGTTAGTAAAGTCACTTAAGAAATAAAGTTAAAAAACAAAGATATATGCAGAAAAATTATTATTTTCAACCCTTATTCTGACTCTCTGTCTGAAATGATCTGTTTTTAAGGGTGAGTCCTTTAATAAGGCTTGTCAGTAATTGGCAACTGTTATGATTGGCTAATGTTATTGCATGGGAAACAGTATCAATTCCCCCTCGTTATTGCATGAAGGTGTTATGAAAACATTATCAATATAAAACCATGATTTTTTTAAACAAAGCTTTTTGAAATTGTTTAATTACAGTTTGCGATGCAGCTGCTCTCAGATCCAATACAGTTGTCTGCTTCCTCTTTGCAAAGAAACAGAGTTTCTTTGCAAACTCTCCATTACAGGGCTCTAGACTCATTCTTCCCGCTGGTTGCTCTTTTGCGACTAAATTTCTTAGTTGGTCGCACGAGCACATGATTTGGTCGCTATATATATACTGTATATATATATTAGGGATGTCAACGATTAATCGATGATCGATTAATTGTCGATAAGAGATGCAATCGATTAAAGCTATTGATGGTCGATTAAGTCGTTTAATTTTGGGCTGTGTGCGGCTCATGCGCAAAAACGTGCGAGTGAGTTGTGAGGGACATAATTACTGATTATAATGACTTATACTGTGTTTTTACGCTTGTTGCATTGCATCGTGCCGCGTAAACATAAAACCATGTCTGCATTTGTGATCGGAGAAATGACAAACAACAAGTGCTACTCTACACTACTCAAAACTCACGTTTGAATCGTCAGTGGCAAATTCTTCTCAAATTCTTCTTCAAAACACGTCGGGCTAGAGTGAGCGGAGGCCGGAGGCCTAGAGTGAGTGGAGGGCGGCTGCCTAGAGTGAGCGGAGGCTGGCTTGAGTGAGTGGAGGCGGGCGGGCTTGAGAATGGCGCAGCCGGCAGATTCTACGAAGGAGCGTCCAGCGGGCTTGCGGCAACCACATGTGACGACCCCGGTCTGGACTCCGC